ATTCAAATGTTTTGAAACAAAATAATGGCCTATACCTTTCTGTTTTAGGGTGGAATCACCTCATCAGACCTTGCTACAAAAGCTCTTGAAGCAAAACGTGCCAAAGTAGTCGGACAGGCCCTAGCCGGAGTTCCTTTGTGGGAGCTAGGGTCTGAGAGTAGACATCCCGGAGTTCCCTATATTGTTTTCCCTGGTAGAAGTTATTTCTTTCTTTCGTTTTTGAACAGATTGTACTAAAATCAAAAAGTTGAGCCTAACTCTAGTAAATTACCTTTCTTAGGTAATGTTGGTGACAGCAAAGCACTAGCAGAAGTAGTGAGATCTTGGGCTCGCCCACTCAGACTTTCATCGACAAAGGAGATCCTTATTGTAAGTGTAATTAGTAGATGCTCTCTGTTACTATTTTTCTTATTATTAATCCTTCCCCCAGGTATTGACAATGTTTCTCTGCTTAAAGAATGCTGAAAGGGGTGGCTATGCTGTTGGAGCCTTCAATGTCTATAACATGGAAGGAATTGAGGCTGTAGTAGCAGCTGCAGAGCAAGAACGTAGTCCAGCTATTTTACAGGTCAGAAGCTGGTTTTTTGAAATTATATAAAAAAATATTCACAGAAAGAAGACGTATCATTTTTCCCTTGCACCATGCATTGGCATCTGTGAGTTTCGAATTTCGATTCATCTATTTTTTGTCTGATAAATAACCCGTCACCTGATGCTACCTATTATACATATATGCCCAATAAGTAACCACCCTGAGCCTGATCTTATGGCTTACACATACCAACAACTAATCGCTGAGGCCAATCTTAAATGACATACAACTTTCCAACAGGTAAAATTGGGACCAAGTTTTTGCAATTACCTATTCCATTTGCGTGATTAATTTAAGAGATGCAAAATCAAGTTATGTAGATGATCATTGGTTAGGGGAAGACCTTACTGGAATGTGGCAGACACATGCCAAAAGCCCTAGTGGAGCATGATCTGCTTTACCTTTCTAGTCTGGATTGTGCATTCATAACAAGGATACAGAAAATAAGAAACTTGAATGCCCTTGTCAACTCAAGGTTGCAGGATATAACCTTTATTTAATTTTTGTATTTTGCATTTTGATTAATGTTGGGTTTTGGTAGGATAGAAAGGAGAAAGAATGCAAAAGATTTTAATCTAATGGAAAAGTTTCAACTGGCTTCCAAATTTAGCATAGTAATTGCTTAAAATGATTTTGTCGTTTCAATCCTCTTTACAAAGAAAATTGTAGTGTACCCCTTGCATCACCGTGTCCCATAGGCCAACCATCTACAATATGTTGGAAATTTTTCATTTTTGTTTTTTCCATCTACAATTTGTTGGAACCTTTTTCTTCTTTCTTCAGTTCCAATTCCAAAAATAATTAATGATAGATCCATTTCTTTTCCAGGTGCATCCTGCTGCGTTTAAGCAAGGAGGGGTTACATTGGTTGCTTGTTGTATATCTGCTGCAGAACAGGCCAGCGTAAGTAGCCCTTCATTTACCAAGTCAAAATGGAAAAAAGAATGGAATAAGACGCAAATTGAATTGCATAACATGCATCCAAAAGTAGTATCTTCAATGTGTCTGTCTTGTAGTTTTCAAATTGTCGATTAAACTTTGTCCTGGTAATAGTTGCAAGAACATCTGGTTTATGTTTACTAGGATGTCTCCTTTGTTTGCTTAGAATTGCTGGTATGCTCAACTTTAAGTTGGTAAACCCATTACAGATTCTTAACATACATACATACAGTACAAGCACAAATTGATGCTTTTATTTTAATTTTCAGTTTGTGTTTCATTTCTTTTTAGAGAGAAAATGCTCAGGATGACGCTGCTATTTGTTCCTTGTTGAAGTCACATACGATACATCTTCTGAATGTTGTATTTAGCTCCGCATAGGCCTGAGAACAAAACCATCACCCTGAAGATGAAATTTATTGCAAATAACATAACATAATTATTCAAGTGCTAGTTTTACAAAACAGGGAGAAAAAAGGAATTTGAGTTGATGTCGGTGCATGTATTGCAGGTTCCCATCACTGTTCACTTTGACCATGGTACTTCAAAGAAAGAACTGTTGGAATCTCTTGAGCTGGTGAGTTAGCATGTTTTTACCAAAGTGAAAACATGAGCTAAAAACCTAATAGAATTCTGTTTGAGGAATGGTAATTGTTGATATTCCTTATGTGTTAACATAGTATTGGTTTGTTTATGATATAAATTTACTTTTTATTACCGCTAGGGCTTTGATTCAGTAATGGTGGATGCTTCACATCTTCCCTTTAAGGATAATATCTCATTCACAAAGTATATATCAAACTTGGCCCACTTAAAGGATATGCTTGTGGAGGCAGAACTTGGAAGATTGTCTGGAACTGAAGATGATTTGACTGTTGAAGATTATGAAGCAAAGCTGACTGATGTGAATCAGGTCACGGAACTTAATCAAATTGAAAAATGTTTTGCTACTATCATTTCTCTATTGCTTATACCAGAGTTCACCTCTTGAAATTTAGGCTCAAGCATTCATAGATGAGACTGGGATAGATGCCTTGGCAATATGCATCGGGAACGTGCATGGAAAATATCCAGCAAGTGGCCCAAATCTCAAACTTGATTTGCTTAAGGTCTAGTATCGTATTTACCATGTTATTCTGTAGCTTATTTAATATCTCGATGGTTGCTGGTCTATATTTAGCCACTCTGTTGAATTCTGTCTTACTAGTAGCAGGCTGTATTTACTTGGGAGTATTTATCCTGTTCTAAGCTAAGTTTGGGTTAAGGATGGATGTCGTGGTCAATGTTTCAACTAAATTACAGTGTTAAAGAGAACATGATGCATGCTTAAACTATAATTCAATTCATAAAAAACATTTAGTGAGATCTAAATGGTGCTTCACATGGAACTCTTTGAACGAGGTAGGCAAATTTAGAGTCAAGACAGTTCTTTTCTAGGGATGAGGGACACATTTATCACTTGTGTAGTTGATCTAAATTTACGTAATCTTTTAACCGATGCAGTTACAACTATAATTATAGTTTTGAAGGATTTTTTTCGCAAGATCTTTTATTAACCAATATATGATGCTGTGTATTTAAAATTGCCTTTCTTTTTCAATTTTATAATTAATCACATGATGGAAAATTTCATCGTATTCTTAGTTTGTGAAAATTTCAATTAAACCTTTTCTGCATGTAATTTCAAATTATTTTTTCTCTATTAGATGAACTAAATCCAAAATTTTCTTTTTTATTTTATTTCTTTTCCTTTCTCGTTGTGACGTTTTCAACTAAATAGAAAACCATGGTACTTCAAACAAAGAACTCTTGCAATCTCTTGAGCTAGTGAGTTAGCTTGTTTTTACAACAGTGAAAACATGAATTAAAAACGTAATAAAATTATGTTTGTGGAATGGTAATTGTTGATATTCCTAATGTGTTTATATAGTATTTGTTTGTTTAATAGATATTTTAAAAAGTTCCCCAACTGTTATTTCTTGGCCAAGTTTTCTCCAAAATTAAAAATATGATGGTACAATTACAATAGCAAAAGGCTTGTGGTAAATCTGGAGTACTCACATAATCAGTGGTAAATTTTCACCTCGTCCCTCCTTTAATGTCCAGTTGTATGTTTTACAGAGCTTTGATTGAAATACAATCTCATATCAGTAACAAGTATTGCACATAGATGCTTATAGATCATCATGGGCTGATGGTAGATAAAAAAAAATCATGGTTATTGAGAAGCTAAATTACATATTGCTTTTTGTTCGTTTAATTGCTAGATCTCGGTTTTCCGGTATTATAGCATAATAACATTTTAATGAACCCATCCTACATAAGTCCTTGGTAGCGTTGGTAAACCTTTCCTCGTTGTTCAGGATCTATATGCCCTAAGTTCAAAGAAAGGAGTTTTCCTTGTGCTGCATGGAGCCTCTGGTTTGTCCAAGGAACTAGTGAAGGTATCATCTACTATCTACTTTTACTGTGGGGTTTTTCATATATAATATAGTTGAAGAATTTGCTTATGTTCTGCACCAGATGAATGAATTCGAGGCCGATTGACCTTGTTGATTAATTTACTTTGGACAGGGTTGCATAGACCGCGGTGTGAGGAAATTCAACGTGAACACGGAGGTAAGAAAAGCTTACATGGAATCCCTGAACAGTCCCAAGGGAGATCTAGTGCATTTAATGGCTTCTGCTATAGAAGCCATGAAAGCTGTGGTTGCTGAGAAGATGCATCTATTTGGTTCTGCTGGAAAAGCCTGATGGTTTGGGGGTGAACCAGCTGTGATCATTGATCCTGCAAAAGTAGGAAAAGGGTTCCAATTTATAACATATTATGATCCTTTTGTGCATTAAAAACATCATATTATTCATTTCCTTTTGGAAACAAATAAATGGACACAAACTGTTGTTAAGAGTGGGATAGGCCATTAGGCTTAAACAGTAAGACAAAGAAACTAGGTTGAATTAGCAAGAATTGGCCCAATATCTTGGGTTAGGCCTTTTTCATCCTCATGTATTTGGACTTTGCAAATTCAAGTCTTGTTTAGTAACCTTATTGTTTATTTATTTTGATTCTTCACAAGTATCTAATCTATTAATTGATTAATCTGGACAAGGTACTGCACAGACCCAATACAGGAGCGACACTCCCAATCCAATTTATTTCATTCACAAAAACCAAAATTTAAACCTCTAATATTTGTTTAAGAGATTTAGGGTTTTATCCAACTAAATCAACTGGATAGCTTATTTTGTTATTGATGAATGTAATGAGCATGATTACATCGACTTTATTTGTACACAAACTTTCAGACTAAATTAACATTGTTAAAGCATAATTACATCGACTTTATTTGTACACAAACTTTCAAACTAAATTAACATTGTTAAACACATTCATAACTTCCATCGATGGATTCAAATCTTGCTTCCTCCATGGAACCCTATTCTCCTTGGTACCTAACTTACCCATGGTTTAAACAGCCATAATCTGATCAAAATGAAACCTGGGACAATCATCACTTTTAGCCTTATGAAGGGTCTCGAGAAGTGCGCGTTTTTGCTTGAAAACGCTTCCCTTGGCTTTCAGATACATCCCATGGTACATGTGCTTATCGATCTTCTTCTTCTTCTCCCTGTACTTCCGAAGGAGTCGCCCGAGGACACGACATCTTCTCATCCACAAAAACTTGGATGGTAGCCTTGCTTCCCTTGTTCCCTTTCTCTTGCCGTATCCTTGTCTACTGGGATTGCCTGTCCTGTATGTTCGTCTGGAGCGACTCACGTTAGGCTTTTTGATGATAAGATTGTCCTTTACGAGCTTTCTTATGTCCATACCTGCATCAGCATTAGGTCCATGCGCCATTAATGAAACATGCTTCTTAGTTTATATATAGAGAGAGAGGGGTTAGGATTCATCTACACTTAATCGAAAAGTACATTCGTTTGTATTTTCGCGGCAAGAAGTGTCGTTGATTAAATAGCTCCTTCGCATCTTGAAGATGATAACCATTGGGAAATTCATCCGAATTATAGGGGACACCAAGATACGGGGCAATGAAGCCTGACATATTTGCATTCTTATTATCCACAAGGTAGTACCTAAACGAACAAACATAGAATTACTTGGTTTGTATTTTTAGGGTAAATTACACATTTAGTACATAAACTGTCAGTTTTGTCTATTTTAATACCTAAATTTTCAAGTTTTTCAAAATCATACATAATGCGTAGTTTTTGTTTCATTTTAGTACCCGTCGTTAAAAACTTAACACATTTAGTACCTAAACTATCAGGTTTGATCCGCTTTAGTACCTAAACTTTCATTTTTTTTCTAAAACTTAATGTTAAGTTTTTAACAGGGTACTAAAATGAAACAAAAACTAAATGTTAGCTATGATTTTGAAAAAATTGAAAGTTTAGGTACTAAAATAGACCAAAACTGATAGTTTAGGTTCTAAGTGCATAATTTACCCTAATTTTTATTTGGGTTTAAAATTAATTGAGTTTTAAAATATTAATGGGTGTAAGGTTAAAATTTATTAAGTCTTAATATTTTAAACGGGTTTGGAGATTAAACTGAATATAAACAAACATATTATTGAATGTTTACGAATGTAAATGAATGAAACAATCATTTATTCATATTCATTCATTTAATTAATCGAACATAAAATCTTGTTCATATTTGTTCACTTAATAAATAAATTTTCCGCCAAACAGTTTGCGAACAGTTCGCTCAACGTAGATTCGTTTACATGCCTATATGAAAAAGACAACACTTCAGACTAGTTTCTCTCGCACTTGTGCTAAGAAGAGGACTTCTTCCAGAGAAGGGAGCGCACACGGAAGCATATCAATAGATGTAAGAAGCAGGAGTGAACCTCTCAAAGAGTCTGATCTTTATAATCCTTCTAGTCTTGAAAGGGAAGGAAGTCTGAATCCGACAGAGGTTGAAACTGTAACAAACGGGAGCGGGAAGTTGAAAACTGTTTAAAATTTGTTCGAGGATCTGTTGTTTTAGTGCTGAGAGAGCTGCCACTGGCACTTCCTCTCACAGTGGAATTTCAAAGTGTTTGTCAGTTGGTAATCAAATGGTAGGTGTATTAATGAATTAAAGCTTAAGGGTCGATGATGAACCTTCCCATTTTCAAATGGCGAGGAAGACATATAGTAAAGCTGGAGCCATTTCCTTGAACATATCTCTGATGGATTCTTCAATGATTGGTGTTACCTTTGATATCACTGCTTTCTGAAAGCACAAAGAACTAGTTAGCATGATATTTTTTGGGGGAAAAAGAGCATATGTGAAGCAGAAATTAATCATGTAATAACGGATTTGAAAAACTGAATTATTAGCATTACTAATTTCATGATCTGTTGCATTCATGCGAAGAAGCTTTGCTTCTGTCATTTTGCTTTCTTAATTTCTTTACATACTTATATACTACAGTGTTTTCTGGTGTGTTTCCCTTAACATTCTGCTATATATATACATACGCAGGCATGAAACAATGATCATGGATGCGTCTGCCATACAATTTTTTATTTTCTGCCAAGTAATTGCATCTAATCAATTTTTTAAAGTCAACAAAAGAACTAGAAATATTTGGAAAAATTGGGTGTTTAGGGTTGTTTGGAACTCAGTGAAAGTTACTTTTAAAAAGATAAAATGTGTTTTATATATCATATTATAAAATTTTAAAAAAAAGATTAATTTCAAATTATTAAATTATTTTTATACAGACATATTATATACTAATACTGATGCAAGATTATGGCCCAGTTCTTTGGGCATAAAATTTCCATAGATTCCATCCTTTTCATCATCAGAGCTCTCCATGAGAAAACTAACCACTGCACTTAAGAAGACACAAATCAATCATCAGCATACATTATTTGGTTTAATAATGTAACCAGAGATATATCCTATAAAATTTCCATTAAAACAAAGATCAGAACGAGCAATTATAATGGGGTAGTAAACTCATGAAATAAGTCAAACTAACATGAAATTCGACATTCTGTAGCTTCAGTTGCAGTGATAAAGCAATGGATATTCTGAAATCCAATGTCACCATTGGCTTTGCTATAAGGTCACTATTTACTCATTGTTTTCAAATCTTTAAATCCATTCATGCAAATTCTTCTTCAGCCACAGCTGTTCATTCACCTACTGAAATCATTGCACAAATTTCTTCTCAAAAATGTCGGAGAAAATACATTAAAAACCAAACACAACAGACACTGATGAAAGGGATCATAGGTAAACAGCAAAAACTTTTTTCATGATAACAACAAATGAATCGTCGCCATGCTAAACCAACATATTCAAACCCTAATAATCCAAGAAATGCAGTTCAATGTATCCTTTTGAAATCTGATCAGGCACATTAGAGGGGCGACTCGCTCCAAGAATTTCAAACTGACAATTGAACAAACATAGCTGCCTTCCAGAGTAAAATAAATCATAATAACAACAAAAACAGAAGAAACCCACCAATTGTTTCAGATACAACAAACAATACCGCGTCGTGAAAGTATAGATAAACTACACTCGAGTAAAGCTCTTTTTTTTGTTAATTGTATTCTAAAAATGAGAGTAAATGTTTGGAGGAGTGTTGTATTTTGTCGATAAAAAAGAATAAAAGCAATACCCGGGAAAAGCAAGGAAGTAATTGCAAAAGGGAGAGCGATGGCAGCGGCGGCGAATTTGCGGAGTGCAGAGTCTTTCCACCGTCTCCTCCGCCACGGGGAGGATTTTGTTCACACTTGAGAAGCAGGGTTTATTGTTCAACGTTTTGCTGTCATTCTCATTCGGCTATAAACTTCGGCCTTTTTTCCTTTCCTCCTCTAATCAACCCAACCCACCTTGATTTATCCCATCTATCTAATCTTTGGCTTAATTCAACATTTCCACTCAAAGTATACATTTCCTCTCAGTTAGGATCCTCATTTATTTTTTGTTTCAATTTACCCTCTAAACTATCATTTTAAGCTATGTGCCATGCACATGGACCATACGACATAGGAGCTTTAGAAGTTTTAGTCGTACTTTTCTATAAGGATTCTTATATTTTAATTTTATTTTATTTTATTTTTATTAATTTCAATTTTTTATCTCTCACTATAAATAGATATGCATGAATATTTATTCATCTCAATAATTCTCATAAGGTAGCTGAATTTTCATTAAATTTCTTAATACTCCTTGCATTTGTAATTTTTAGTTGGAGTCCACTTCCCAAGTATGTGTAAGTTCAAGAATAATGGAGAATTTGATATGTATGAATTAATTTATGTCAGTTGTTAAAAGAATTATTATTATTCTTAAAGGTCGTGGTTTGAGCACCAACAGATGTAGTAGATTTATGAATTCTCTCTTTCGACACAAACTTTTTTTATATAGAAGCAACTAATTTTATTCAAAATAGGAAATATCCCAAATTACAATAAGGATTTACAATCACAATCGTAAATTAAGCACATAATTAGGAAAATTTCCTATAATCATTGAAACAAATCGAAAGACCACTAACAAACTACAAATCAGACTCGAGCGACGTGAAAAGCTATCCATGAACACAAATCGAATGGTCCAAAGCAGGAAAGATCACAATATATCATATAAGCACCATCTTGATCAATCGTGACGATGTCAAAATCAACCATTGGAAAAAAGATAAATTAAAACGACCAAAGAACCGAAAAAATGTCAAAAAACATAAGAAAACGAGCTATAAAGGTAGATGAAAACGTGCAACACAGACAGACTTATTGAAAATAAAAAATAAGAGAAAATAAAGATATAATATAGAAAAGAAAAATGGAAAAAATAATATTAACGGTCGGCAACCAGCATCCAAAGATGAAAAAAAAGAGAGCAACACACCAATTAGAGAAAATTAAGTTTTTAGGGTTTTTCAAGATATATAATCTTTACTTTTGCTCCTTCGACACAAACTTAAAAAATAACAATAGAAATTTAAGTGATTCAAAGAAAGAATGAATGAAAAATAATTAGTTATAATTAAATCTTTCTAAGATGGTCCTTACCTGCGAACTACCGGCGGTGCAACGGCGACGGAAAAGCAAACGGCAGCAGGGTTGGAGATTTAAGGGTGATCCTCGCTAGGGTTTCAAATAAAAAAAAGGGAGGCAATGTGCAGAGTTATGATCGGAAGGGGGAGAGTTTGATTTGAAGTATAATGAGAAAATTATAAATCAAACCATTATACTTTACAGGGTTTACAAATATGGCTCTAAAGTTTTCAATTCCTACAATTTAGTCACCATTCGAAAATTAGGGGTTTACATATAAAATCCCCAAATTCTAGGGTTTTTAATTTGGGGAATTTTTGGTGTGTTAGAATGCAGATATAAAATAATATAAAAATTAAATTAAATTAAGGGTGAACTACATAGGTGATCACCAAATTATGGTTATTAACCATTTTGACCACAAAAGTTTAAAAGCGATCAAATAGACCACCCGATTATTTAAATGGTTCAATCCAACCACTTATCGTTAATTTTTAACAGAGGTGATGATATGGCCGTTAATAAAATTGATATAATTATATATTTAGTCCTTAATATTTACACATTATATCAATCTAGTCACTATTTTAATTCATTCAAAATAAATTAATCCTCCAAACCAGAGTTACCACATGTCACTATATGATTGGAGGGTGAATTTAATTAATTTTAGTATTTTAATTAAATAAATTTTTTAGCCAATCAGGTGGTGACAACTATGTAAAGGGAAAAGATTTTAGAATAGAAAGTGAGCTTAAGGGGTTTCAAATCGGTAACCCCTTGGCTTAATGGATATTGCTTTACCATTGGGCTACATCATTCAATTGATTTTTAGTTACACAATGTTGTATATGTTGTGTTTAATATTATTTCATATATATATATATATATATCAATTTACTAAAACAAATCTAATAAATAAATTATATTTCATATGTTAAAATTTCCCCCTTAAGCTCACTTTCTATTCTAAAATTTTTCCCTTTACACAGGTGGTTACACATGGCACCTCCGAATTGGAGGATTAATTTTTTTGAATGAATTAAAATAGTGACTAGATTGATAGAATGCGTAAATAATGTGTAAATATTAAGGACTAAATATATAATTATGCCAATTTTATTAACGGTCACGTCATCACCTCTGTTAAAAATTAATGGCCAGTGGTTGGATTAACCTATTTAAATAGTTGGGTGGTCTATTTGATCGCTTCTAAATGTTGGTGGTCAAAATGGCTAATGATCATAGTTTTGTGGTCACCCGTGTAATTTACCCTTAAAATAATATAAAAATTCTAGGGTTTGTAAATTTTTTATTTGAGGTTGAGAATTGGGAACAAGTAATGTGTTTTAGTAAAATAATATAAAAATTAAAATATATAAATATATTATGTATTTTTAAAATATGATAAATGATAATAGTTATAATAAAAGTAAAAAAAATAATAGAGTGTTAATACTACAATCAATCCTAAAATTTATTAGGATTTATAAAGTTATTCTTATACTTCCAAATATTATAATTTGATTTTCAATTTTAGATCTTAAAGATTTTTTTATTCAATTTATTTAAACTAAACTTCTAGCTCCATATTTAGGATGCGATAATATATAATTTCATAAAATTCTTGAATTACAAGTAACGAAGAGCAACATCGATGACTATGACGGCTCACTTTCTATTCTAAAATCTTTTCCCTTTTACACAGGTGGTGACACATGTCACCACTTGATTGGTTGAAAAATTACGTAATTAAAATATTAAAATTAATTAAATTCACTCACCAATCATATTGTGACATGTGGAACCTCCGGATTGGAGGATAAATTTTTTTGAATGAATTAAAATAGTGAATAGATTGATAGAATGCATAAATATTAAGGATTAAATATATAATTATGCCAATTTTATTAACGACCACATCATCACTTCTATTAAAAATTAATGGCCAGTGGTTGGATTGAACTATTTAAATAGTTGGGTGGTCTATTTGATCACTTTTAAACGTTAGTGGTCAAAATGGTTAATGACCATAGTTTGGTGGTCACCCGTATAGTTTACCCTTAAAATAATATAAAAATTTCTAGGGTTTGCACTTTTTTAATTTGAGCTTGAGAATTGGGAACAATTAATGTGTTTTAGTAAAATAATATAAAAATTAAATCAAATATATATATATATATATATATATATATTATGTATTTTTTAAATACGATAAATGATAATAGTTATAATAGAAGTAAAAAAGTATAGAGAGTTAATACTACAATCAATCCTAAATTTATTAGGATTTATAAAGTTATTCTTATACTTCAAAAAAAATTATAATTTGATTTTCAATTTTAGATTTTAAAGATTTTTTTTGATTCAATTCATTTAAAATAAACTTCTAGCCCCATATTTAGAATGTGATAATATATAATTTCATAAAATTCCTGAATTACGAGTAATGAAGAGTAGCATCGATGACTAAGACGACAAATAGTGATGACGGTTGAAACAAACCCAAATAAACCCGAATTGACCCGAAATCTAAAGGTTGACCCGAATCAAAACCAACCCGAATTGACCAGAAAATCTAAAGGTTGACCCGAACCAAACCAAACCGACCCGATACTAACACGACTTGAAAACAACTGATCTGATTTTGACTCGATCGAAAAACCAACTGATCCGATTTTGACCCGACCCGAATTAAATTTCCATAGGCACGAATCAAAACCGAACCTGAAATGACCTGACCCAAACCCGATTCGAATCAAGGCTCAACCTGAAATGACCTGACTCGAACCCAATCCGAATGACAAGTTTGCCACCTCTACCATTAACCAACTAACTATTTGTCCTTTTACCTTTGTCACAAATCTTTCAATTTTTGTCAATCAGACCATCTAACTATTTGATTTTATTCAATCAAGCCATTTGTCGTTAATATTTAATGGAAATGTTGACGCGACGGTTAACAAAACTGGCATAATTGTACACTTGGTCCTTAATAATTACACATTTTATCAACTTGGTCCTAATTTTAATTTAATTAATAAATTTAATCTTCCAATTATGTTGTGACATGCGTAAAAATCTGGTTAGAGGATAAAATATATAAGTTTAAGGACTAAATGTACATTTTATACCAATTTTGTTAATTGCAACATCAACACTTCCATTAGATATTAGCTGCAAGTGGCTTGATAGAATATAATTAAATAGTTAAGTGATCTAATTGATAAAATTAAAAGATTGATGGTAAAAATAAAAGGACTACATAATCAGGTGGTACATGGTAAAGTTTAATCTAAACTAGAAGACTAGTAATTGAATCTTAATTTATTTAAATATCTTAATAAAATAAAATAAAAATTCGAACCCTATGTTAGTTTATCTAGAGATCATAATAGAAAGTTTATGACTGAATTTAATTAAAACAATAGTAATATTATTAAAAACTTATAATAATTAAAAGAACTATATTTGTCTAATATTTGGTATGCCTTATCTTTCTTAAAACAAATGTATTTTTTTGATGCATGACCGAAGCCTTACAAAATGCGATGAAAAATAACTAACAACTAGTTGATTCATAACATGGTGACCTAAAAATGGCTAAATCTTACCTAAAAATTCGTTGAAGCTTGCCTGGCGACGATGGAGTTTGCTTAACTGGTCGATGATGGTTTATTCTTTTTGATTTAAATGAAAAATTATAGTTCATGGATATTCGATCGTAAACTGTAATTGATCCGTTTCAAAAGAGAGAATAGAGATAAGAAAAGGTGAAATGTACGTCAGAGAGTTAACAGAAAAAGGGGGAATCATCTTTCAGTCTTTTCTCGAATATAAATACTTCGATGATAAGGTAATTGGTGTCAGATCTATGATGACAAACTCTATCTCTAAGTTGACCTAAATAAAATGATTATAGTTGTTGGAACAAGTTTAACCCTAATAAATCAGGTAGGACTATTAAAGATTTAATTTGACATTATAATTATTCAAAAAGTATGTGGTTCTGAATAAATCGTGGACGATTCGAAAACTATTTACGAAAGATATTTCTGTAGGTATAACAAAGGTTAATCTAAACCAATTGTCTCATGTTCTATTAGGGTTGAAAATAAAGGATGTTATAAATATATAATCAACATGTATTATAAAATCTCGTCACCTGGTAATAATAATGATGAATTTATAAGTTGATTAAGAAAAATAAATAAATAAAAAATAATATAATATAATATATATAAAAGTAATATTTATTCAAAGATAATTTTTAATTATTTGATATTGAACATTTATATCCGTAACATTTTCATTGTTCGTATCCGGTATCTCAAAGAATAATAACAATTCTTTTATTACCGAGGTCGCTTGATTCGTGCAATATCTTCACAAATTAAAATTGTTCCTACATAATTATGTAAATTCCTATAATTGTTTAAGAATAATTAAAGAATATAATTAGAATCATAGATTATATTTAAATTAATAAAGTTCCGAAATTATAGTAATTGCCTAAACACATTATAATTATATAATTTTATTCAAATTCAATTACATAGAGGATGTTTAAATTTATTTTTTCTATTAGAGATATCAAAAAATATATATTTTTGTAAAATACCATATAATAGAATAATTAATAAAATAACCCCTAAACTATTTTTTAATATAAATTCCTGAGTTGATGCCTAATTAATTACTAAAATCAATAGTTTTTAAAAAAAAACTAATAGTGGATAAACTGATTCAAGGGGTAGTAGTACTAGTAGAAACAAAGAAGATATGAATACGTGGCATGCCACAAGGGACAAAGTGACGTAATACCTTCCATCACCAGCACAGTGTTTTTCCTTTATAAACACCAAACCCAACATCTGATCTGAAACTCAAAAAACTAAAGAAGAAGAAGAAGAATCCTCAAATGGCAGACCAACCCCAGATTTATGAACTCAACAATGGAACCATGGTTGTTAAAATCACCAACTTTGGCTGCACTATCACCTCATTGTCTGTTCCCGACAAAAACGGTACTCCCATTCGGTTCTTCTTCTTCTTCTTCTAATAAAATTCGAATGCTAAATTATTAACGATCACTGGTGTTTTTTCCCCTTGAATTTTAAGGTGAATTAGCCGATGTCGTCCTGGGATTCGACACCGTCGAACAGTACCTGGTAAATCTTCTCTGAATCTCTCTTGTGTGTGTGTGTGCTTCTTCTGTTGACTTTGGAAGAATTTTGATTCTCGTCTTAATCTTTTCTGGTGAATTGGATTGTTTTTGGAGAAAAAAAATAAGAGAAACCCATCTCTGTTAGTTTGTGTGATGAATCGATTGGTTGTCGAGTTCTGGGATGGATCGAGAGGGCGGTCGTACTTTGAAATTTTCAATTTATAGTATATTTCAGATATTTTCTTTTATTTTCTATTGATAATCTGTTACAGTTTTATAGATTCGTCTCCTAGCATAAATTCTTAGGTCTGTCGAGTTGGATTATGTCTTACTAGTCTCCTTGATTAAGAGGATCGGATTTTTGGGGTTAATTTTTGTTATGTTTGATCAGCAAGGCGATGCACCTTATTTTGGCTGCATTGTGGGAAGAGTAGCAAACAGGATTAAAAATGGCAAATTTACTCACAATGGAACTGAGTACTCTTTGCCAATCAACAACCCTCCAAACAGTCTCCACGGTATATACTTCTCGTCTCTCGGTTTTCGGTTTTCTTTTGTTCCCTCGCTAAGGAACTTTCATTCTTATTCGGATTTTTTATGAAGAGTTCGCATCGAATCTTTTCTTTGTTTCTTGCCCTCAGGTGGATTCAAGGGGTTTGACAAGAGAATATGGGAGGTGGTAGAATATACGAAAGGCGACAACCCCTACATTACTTTCAAATATTCCAGCAGCGATGGCGAGGAGGGTAAGTTTGCGCACACTCTCTTTCGAGCACACATGTTTCTATTTGTTTCTCTGATGATGCTGTTTTTGTGTTTGAAGGTTATCCGGGTGATGTTTCTGTGACTGCAACCTACACTCTAACTTCGAGCACAACGCTGAAGCTCGAAATGGAAGCGGTGCCCAAGGATAAGGCCACTCCGATTAACTTGGCTCAACACACGTATTGGAACTTAGCAGGCCACAACTCGGGGAACATACTCGACCATACCATACAGATATGGGCATCAGATATCACTCCTGTGGACGAGAACCTGATTCCAACCGGTGAAATCAAGCCGGTCAAAGGGACTCCTTTCGACTTCACTGCCGAGAAGAAGGTCGGTCTCTCGATCAATGAGGTAGGTTTGGGTTATGACCATAACTACGTTCTCAGCGGTGGGGAAGAACGGTCAGGTTTGAAACGCGCCGCCAAATTGAAGAGTCATTCGAGCTCGAGGGTACTTAACTTGTGGACCAATGCCCCCGGGATGCAATTTTATACCGGTAATTATGTGAATGAAGTCGTCGGTAAAGGTGGTGCCGTTTACAATAAGCACGCCGCCTTATGCTTGGAAACGCAGGGATTTCCGAATGCCGTAAACCAACCGAACTTCCCATCGGTTGTTGTTCAACCCGGTAGCAAGTACCGGCACACCATGTTGTTCGAGTTTTCGACCGAGTGAGTTTGTGAAGTCTTTCGAGTTTAGATATCAGAATAAGTTTAGTGTTGGTTTGCCTAGTTTCAGGTTTTGCAAGAATATGGGTTCCTTTTAGTTCCTCATGGACTGTTAAGGCTCATACTGTATAAGGCAAAATCCCTCTAGTTTTGATTTTATGTTGAAGTTATGTTTCTACTCCGCTTTTTCCTTTTTTTTGTGAGATTTAAGTATTTATTTGGTTTAAGAAAAATAGTCATCTAGTGAATTTGCAAAGCAATATATATGTGTGTGTGTTTGGTTTTAAAAGATCATTCTTGTTTAAGGGAAAAAATGTTTTGTTTAATTTTTCTAAATGATTGTAAAAAATAAAAAAAATATGAAAATAAAGAAAAACTAAGATGAAATAACACGAGATATGTGGATGAGAATAGAACATATGTTATTTACTCATCAATAGAAAGAATATTTAGGTTTTGGGTAATGCACACAAATGATATCGATTATAGATTATTGCTTTATTAAGTGACTATTAAAATTTATAAAATGACCATTTGACTATGGAGTTTTGTTTTCTTGAGTCCTTAGATTATTAAAAGTTACAAAATAATCATTTGATTATTCATTATGTTTCGAACTCGTCATTTTTTGTTAAAAAAAATGGACGATATTATGAGCTAAAAGTTAACTAGTTGACTGTGATATGATAAAATCTGATCTCAGAATCTCAAACAACTATACCAATTTTTTTAACGGAAAAATGATAAGTTTGAAATATAATAAATAGTCGGTGATCATTTTATAACTTTTAATAATTGAGAAACTAAACAAAACAACATTCTATAGCTAGATGACTATTTTGTAACTTCAATAGTCGAGAGACTTAATAAAACATTACCCCATGGTTAGAGACCAATTGTGTATTTTACCCTTAGGTTTTTTTATTCAAATATCATCTATTAAATAATTAATTACCGTTATAAACATCCATTAAAAGATTATTAGGTAAGCTACACATTTAATACCTAAACTATCAGTTCTAGTATGTTTTAGTACCTAATCTTTCAAAAAAAAATTCAAAACATATATAATGTTTAGTTTTCATTTCATCTTAGTATCCCACCATTAAAAACTTAACGCATTTAACACAAAAACTATTAGTGTTGGTCCGTTTTAGTTTCTAAACTTTATTTTTTTCATAACATAATGTTAAATTTTGAATAGGGTATTAAAACGAAAAAAACAAAAGGGTATATGAGTCCCCTGTAATTGTCCAAAAATCCAATGTGTCCCTCGACATTTTTTGCACTCAATGTGACCTTTTAACCAACGGTTTTCGTCGTTGACCGTTACGATGCTCACATGGCACTTCACGGTGCTGATGTGGCGACCTACAATGCTGACATGGTAGTCAACAGTGGTCGATGACGTGACAAATGGGCTAAATTGGTTTTTTCAAGTTCGATGGTCAAATTGAAAAAAAGTTTAAGGGCTTATTTGATTTTTAAGAAAAATAAAAATATTTTAAATTAAAAAATATAAAAATATTAAAAAATGTAAATATAATAATACCAAAAAATAAAAATTAAATTATTCAAAAATTAAAAATATATGTTATTACTTTTTACCTCGAATTTAAATTGACTTTTATTTATATAAATCTAAATTCGTTATTCGTGCACAAATTTTATTTTATATATTTACATCTAATTATCTTAAATTCTAAATGTCTTTTTAAATTCTATTTCACTAAATTTTTATAAAAATTAATTAAATAATATTATAAATTCTTATAAAAATTAAATTGTGAAATTATGAAATTAAAATTTTATTTATAAATTTTCATGAAACTGTATAATTAAAAAAAATAAAATATAGTTATCCGATTAAGGGAAACATTTTTAGTGAATATAACATGATTTAAGGAAGTAAACTTCACCTAAACTTGATCTTATGAAAAAGTGAGAATATCGACTTATGTCATCGATCTCTGCTAGATACAACTTTATAAAGTCAAGATAGATATGAACTTCACGTGTTTGAGGGTTTTTTGTCACAACAATATTTAATTTTTAAAAAAATCAAGAAATAGAAAATATGTATCAACAAAATAAAAATAAAATAAAATTCACGTTAGAATTTAAGGACAAATTATGATATGAGTTTTATTTATTTATTTTTAAAAACAAAATCAAGAAATAGAAAATATGTATCAACAAAATAAAATAATATATGTTTTTAAAAAAAATCAAATAAGCCCTTAAACTTTTGAAAAAAAATAATTTTGGCCCTTGAACTTAAAAACACAATTTAGCCCATTTGCCACATCATCAGCCATATCACCCGCCATTGTGGACTGCCACATCAGCACTTTGAATCACCACATCAACACAATGAAGTTTCACATCATCATCGTAATGGTCAACAACGGAAACCATTGGTCAAATGGTCACATCGGGTTCTTTTTATAAGTTTGAGGGTCACATTCAGTGCAAAAAAATATTGAGGGCCACATTGGTTTTTTTGGACAAGTACATGGGCCTCATATACCCTTTTGCCAACAAAAAATAAAGTTTTTATGGTGAAGTATTAAAATGAAAGAAAAACTAAACTTTAAGTATGATTTTAAACAAATTAAAAGTTTAGAAACTAAAATAAACCAAAATAAATAGTTTAAGTATTAAATGCGTAATTTACTCAAGGTTATTTCTTGAATTAGTATCCCCGTAGTAAAAGCGTTTTTTACATAAAATATGTTTTTACACATGATAAAGATTAAATACATACTTTAAACATAGAGTAAGTGGATCCTAATATATATATATATTGATATTATAATTGATGCGATGAGAATCTCGTAGCTATTTAATTTAAATTCGATGAATTTTAACTTGATACATTTTGATAAAAAAGTTCAGGTTCATGTCAGATTTTATATGGGTGAATTTTACCAAACTATATCGCTTTTCCCAAATAGGTGCCTAAACAGTTTTTATTCATCCATGTGACAAACGTTACAAACATTACCATTTTAGGTGTCCGGGCAATAATGATCGTTAAAAAATTTAGTTAAGTGACATGTGTCATGTTTTGGTAATTTATACAATTTTATTTAAAAAATATTATATTTATACAAAATCCTATTTTTTCTAAAATGTAAAAAAACAAAATTTCTAACCCTAACCTCCATTGCTGGCCACTATCGCCATCGTTGCCCTTGTTATCTATCTTGTCGTTGTTATCTTACTTGTCGTCATATGTGTCGTTTGATCGCTTGGGTATTATGAATTCGGGGTTTGATTTTGTAGGAGACACAATTTTGTCGTTCCTTTGTCAGTGACGAGACGTTGTCACTGAGTTTAACTTATCATAGAACGGAGGTTCTAGTGGAGGTCTGATCGATGTCAAACGGCGATGAACGACGTGAGTTTAGGGATTGAAATTAGAGTTTTCAAAGTTTTGAGATTTTTTATATTTTTTTAAAGTTTTTGGGTTTTTTTAAATATATAGTTTTATTTTTAATTTTAAATAAAATTTTTAAAATTATCAGAACATGACATGTGTAAGTTAATAGTGGAATTTAACGATCGTTATGGCCCAGTCACCTAAAGTGGTAACGTTTATAACATTAGACACCTGGATGAATCGAAAAAAATTTGGACACCTATTTGAGAAAAGTGGTGTAATTTGAGCACTTATTTTTTAATTAACCCTTTTTTAAGTAGATCCTTATTTTATATTAAGTTGGATCGAATTAGATTGAGTTTATAATCCAAAAATTTGAATTGGATCAAATTTAGGTAGAATAAATATGTTTTTCGGATCAGATTGGATCAAATGAAAGATGTATATTTTTTTTAAATCAGATTCGAGTGGAAGTTATATATATTTTTGAATCGAATTGATAAAAAACCATATAATCTGATCCATTGTGTTAGGAATTTAAGAGTGAAAAATAACCAAAGCGATGTCAACATAAAATAAGATATACATACGAGACAAGATTTAATGTGGTTTGACATTGCCTACCTATATGGACGAGATGAACACCAATCCACTATAAATGCAGAGAACAAAAAGAGTATAAATATATGATATCACATGTATCCTAAAACCTGATATAGATACCAAAACCCTGTATATCCCAAAACACTCTTCCAACATCCCTACAAAACTATATCTATAACATAAACCCCAAAAGTTATATAGATCCTAAAAAAGACTATATATCTCTAAAATAATTCTTTCTCGTATTACCCTAAAAGCTATGTCATGATCTTTATTTATAAAGTCAAATACTTGATCACCAAGAATTCTTATTCCATAATAATTATTGCCTAAAATAAATATTTATTTTATTAAATAAACCTAATTACCAATAATCTTCAACCATTAAAATTATAATAAAATCTAACTTAATTACCAATTATAATTTAGCTTAAAATATAACAAATCTCCCATTTGACATAAATTTCATAAAAAATGGTCTTCAAATCTTTAACTACTTTAATATTTACGTAAGTTGCATATCCGTTAAAACATTGTTATCAAGTCTTCAAAAACTTTAGTTCTTACACAATATCCATTTGAAGTATTACTATGATTAATCGAGAATTACTTTTCTGCAACTGAACTCATTGAAACAAATTTATCTTGCATGTCTCTAAAATTGAAAACAAAATTCGTAACAAAAAATTCCTTCAAAAGTCTATATTATGAACCATAACTCTGATACCACTTTTAGAAATTTAAGAGACATGCAAAATAAATTTATTGCAATGAATTTAATCGTAGGAAATTAATTCTTGATTGAACGAGTAATGCTTCAAATAAATATTGTGTAAGAATTAAAGTTGTTGAATACTTGACAGTAGTGCTTCAACGGATATGCAATTTACATAAAGATTAAAGTTGTTAAAGACTTGAAGACCAATTTTAGTGAAATTTAGGTCAATGGAGAAATCTTTTATACATTGACATAAATTATAATTGGTAATTAAGTTGGATTTTATTATAATTCTTATGGTTGAAGATTATGGGTAATTAGGTTTATTTAATAAAGTAAATATTTATTTTATGCAAGAATTATTGGTGACCAAGTATTTGACTATATAAATAGAGACTTAGATGATGCAGTGAAAGAGTTTAATAAGAAGATATCGTCAGATTAGATGCACGAAGAAAAATGTAAGAATTGTAAGGCCATATATC